ATAGGGACCATCTGAACATGGGGACTGTCTACCAAGTGTTGCCCTGTTAGGAACAGTCTCATCATAAATGATGCCAAGCTGGTGATGTGATTAGTCAAAAGATTCAGCTGCTTCTTTTCTCTTCGCCCAACCCCCAGTATCAAAGTGCTTTCTTATTGTGGAAAATATGAAAATACATGAACAGTTTGGAAGGTAGGAAGGAAGAAAGAAAAGAGGGAGAGAGGGAAGGATTATGCATATACCCACACATTTTCTTCTGACCTTTTGGAATGCATTTTCCTTTGTGTAATTGATAACTTATGCTATAAGATATACGATTTTGTTTTCTGCTTTTTTGTTTAACATAATGTCATAAGCTGTTACTTCAAACTCTTTGGAAAATAATATTTTAAATATTCTTTTACCAGACAGATTGTTTTTCATTTTTCACTGATGCAAAGAATGATTTAGCAGACATCTTGGTTCATTACCTTTGTCTACATTTTGAACATTTATTTTTCTCCTTAAGAGATATTTCTGGAAGTAGAATTAAGTGGCCAAAAGTATGAACGTTTTAAAGACTTCCCTTTCTCTATGTGTGGTCACACGGCTTTCCAGAAAGATTGTACAGTTTATACCTTGTTCAGCAGCAAATGAGAGTATCTGTCCTACCTCACCTTCAAATATTTCCTAATTTGAAAAGGTGAAATAACAAATTTTTATTTGCATTTCCGTGATGATTAGTGACAATGAATGATATTTAATTTTTTTGGATGGAGAGGTAATTTTATTTCTTCTTTTCTGAATTATCTACTTACTGGGCTTTGGGTATTTTTAAAGAGATTTCTATGACCTCTTAATATATTAAGGAGATTAGTTCCTTGGCATGTCTATTTCAAATTTTTAACTAGTTTGTGATTTGCCATTGGATTTTTTGGAAACAGCTTTCTTGAGATGTAATTTACCCATTTAAAGTATATAATTCAGTGATCTTTTTTTGTATATTCACACACTTGTGCAGCTATCAGCACAATCAATTCTAGAATATTTCCATCATCTCAGAAAGAAACCCCATACCCTTTAGCTGTCATCTCCCAACCTCCACCCACCCCCTCCCAAGAACTCCCAGCCCTAGGCAACTACTAATTTTCTTTCTGTTTCTTTAAATTTGCCTGTTCTGAACATATTGTATATTTGGAGTCATGTAATATATGGGCTTTGTGGCTAGCTTCTTTCACCCAGCATAATGTTTCCAATATTCATCTGTGTTTATAGCATGTATTGGTATTTTCGTCCTTTTTATGGCTGAATAATTTGTCTATCCACTTATCAAAGAATGAACACTTGGGTTGTTTCCATCTTTGGCTATTATGACTAATGCTACCAAAGCATTATAGTTAGTTTTTATTGATTTATTTACTAAAGTTTTAAATTCATGTCATCATCTCTGTTGCTTGTTTGGATTGTATTTCTTCAGTAGTTTAAGATAAACAAATATTTTCCCAAAACAATGATAAAATTTCCACTTGTATTTTTATCTTTTTAATTTTTAAAATTTGTTTTATTGTTCATTTCAATCTATAATCCATCAAATTTTATTTTGGAGTGGATAAGAATTAGGAAGAGTCTAAATTGTCCTCTGACCCCCACCCCCATCCCGAATGCCTAAATTTTTTCAGCAATATCTGCTGAATCATCCTTCTCACTAACCTTTTTTTTTCATTCTGTACTGATGTTTATTGCTTTTCATCACATGTTAAGTGTTTATGAGAATGAAGCTTGATCTTGGTGTTATTTATTGTGTTTAATTGCTCTGTTTAATTTTTTATAAGTTTAATATAAAGTGAGGCTACCCTTTATTGTTTCTTAAGCTTTGGTAGGAGACATAAAACCTATATAAATGGAACTTTCTTAGATAGGAAAATTGAATATTATAAAGAAGAACACTGTGGGAACTACAATTTGAAATTCAATGCAAGGAGGGTGATTGATTTGGATTCTAAATTATATTTGAAAAGTGAGAAAGTTTTTTTCCATGATTATTGTTTTAATCAGATTTTTTTATACTTAAATGTATCTTATTTTATTAAAGCTTAGGAGGCAAGTATTACTATTTGTTTTTGACAGTTCAGGAAATTGAATTTTGATGTATTAAAAAATTTGTCCAAACTGAAGATATTTTAAACCTGTTCTGTGCAATTTCACAGATCTACAGTTTTTTTCCTACTCAGAGAATTATGTAGTCAACAACTGGATTTCTATTAAAACTTCACAGGCTTTTTGTGATAACTATCTTGACAAATAGTGCATAGTTAGACCATTAAAAAACCCGAAGGCAGTGAACCCCGTGATACCATTTTCTGTTATCAGTTCCTTAAATTCGTCTTTTTTCTTTTAGTTGCAATTTTTCTATTTCTTGTGATGAGAATGTTAAAGATTCACTCCCTTAGCAACTTCCAAATGTGCATACAGTATTATTAACTATAGTCACCATGCTGTACATTTCATCCCTTATTTGCATGAAATTTACTTTATAAATCAGATTTTCTACTTATTCTGAGATAATTTTGGTAATTTATATTTTTATATAAAAATTGTATTGACACTTAAAAAAATTCTTAGCATAGAGTTTTCACATCAATATGTTTCTAAAATTCTTCTCCATATCTGTTGTTATCCTCCTTTCTTGTTTGGCTTATTTCTGTTTCTGTATTCTTTTCTTGATTGCATTCAGTAGAGCTTTGACTCTAGCTAGCCAACTGATTGAGTCAGTAATTTGGGAGAAACGAAGAGATTTTTTTTTTTGAAGCAATAGATTGTACCGTGGGTCTATCCCCAGGAGGTTATACCTGTATAATAAATTAGAATAGGTAATTGACAATAGTTGGTACCCACCACTCTAGCCACTTAGGATAATGTCAAAACAATTCTAGAGCAGTAAGTAGCTCCAGGGAGCTTCTTGCAGTTTTAAGTAACTGGTTGAATGTTTTAAGTCATTGGGGTTATTTTCTCATTCAGGGAGAACCTCAGGAATGAAAAAATGGCATGTCTAGGTAGCTAATAATACAAAATTAAAGCTTGATATAGTGTTATATAATTAAGAAGAAGAATATTAATTATCTCTAATTTTTTGGTTCTTTCTTTCACAGATTCCTGTGGTGGGTGGGAGTTAATTTGGGTGGCGTGTACAGCTCAGTCCACAGGGGTGGACCCTGACTTTTTAGAAGTCACTGATTAAGGAGACAAGATGTGGGGAAGGGCAGATCCAGTGGAGAAAATGGCAGCCTTCAGTTAATTTGTTTTGGAAAGCAGGGAGGTGGGGAGACTACTGCACTTAGCCTTTGCAGGGGGATAATTAGCACTGAGTGAGAGGGGAGTCAGTGGGATCGAAAGGAAAAGAGAGATATAGGAGATTGATGGCTCTGATGCTTACTGAAAAATAATATCACCCTCCTTAGAACTCCCAGGTTCCTTTGCCCCATCTCTTATTACTGAGTTCTGCCAGGATTCCTGTTGCACAAACAAGGTCAGAGACTAGGCTGTACTCAGCCTGGCTCTCAGAAATAGTGCATCTTGGGAGAAACCACAGAGAGGGGACACACAGCAGGAGTCCGTGCCTCCCTGTCCATCGCAGTGTGTAGACATCTGTCAGTACCAGTGTCAGGCTCTAGGACAAGACCCCTGTCCAAGGCTGTGGAGCTTTTAAGTTGCATATCTGGGAAGCCTCAGCCCCTCCCCCAGCCTGAGCCAGTCCCAGAGGTCCTTGCCTCACAGTTAGAGTAGTAGGACACGGTGGGGCCTTGGCCCCCTAGCTCTGTTCCGCTGCCTCAGCCTTCATGGTCATGGGAGCATAGCCTCTCCCCAGCATGACGTGGGGTCTAGGGTGCAAGCCTGTGTTACAGCTTTGTGTGGGGACATATCCATGGGCTGATGTGCCACCCCAGCTTTCTCCCAGGATGGATCATACTCCTTCCCTGGGAGGCTGGCCTGCAGGAATCAGCCTTATCTCTCTCCAGCTCTTAGATTGTGGGCTCTCTGAAGACAGGATGGATGTCTCAATCACCCTCATGTCTTCTCAGTGCCTAGCATGCTTGGCTGGCTCTGTGAGTGATTTAGGAGTGAAGAAGAGCAAGCCCAAGAAACCCTCCCTCTCCTCGTGACCCTTCTTAACCATTGTGTTCCTCTTTGAGGATCTGATGAAAGCTTTGAACTATCTCCAGAGAAGTGTAGGCAAACACATGCACACGCACACACACACACACACACACAAGTGTGCATGCATATATGGAATCTTGCATCCAATTGATGAGCTCTGGTTAAGAGCCCCTGCCTTAGAGCTCTGGTAGGTTCCACTTACCCCATCTGAACACCATCTCATTCTGTGCTATACCCCATACACCTGCATACCCCTGCTCCCCTGCTCTGAGTCTGTGCATCAGTCTTTCCACAGCAGAAGTTTTGGCTGTGGTACTGATTTGGAACCTGGTCATACAGATCTAAAATTTCTTGAAAGTGATGGTTTTCCACTGTTACTCCAGAGCGGGTACATTGGCTAGCCATGGCCCTGTGGAATAATGGCTTCCTGGAGAGCACAGGTTTTACTTGATGTTCAAAAGATGACCTTTAAATGGACAGTCCATTCTTGACCCCACCTGAGGAGAAGGAGCCTCTTTCCTCACAAACACCAAAGTCAGCTCTATGAGAAGTCCAGATGTAAGGCATCCAGAAGCCTGTTGTTTGAGACTAGACCTGCCAGCCCCAGACAGCAGCCTGCCTCAGATTTTCTGGCTTTTCTCTCCACTGTCATCCTGTTGCTGTCACCCTCCCCTGTGGCCTCCAAGGTGGTTGACTTTTCCTCATGAGAGTCTCTTTCATAATTTCTTGAGTCACTCCCTGCAGCTTGTATTTGTTTGAGATTCGGAACCGTTTCCTATTTGGTAATGTTTGGGGTTTTAATGGGGTGAGACATGCCCAGCACTTCTTCCTTCTCTTTCCATTCATTGGTGCTCTCTGTGCCATAGATTCTGGCTGTGACTCAGTCACTGACACTGAGACCGAGGACGAGAAGGTGCTTTCCTACTCGAAGCAGCAGGGCCTGCCGCCGGAGACTCCGCCTGGGAACCTCATGGTGGTGCAGCCGGACCGCATTCGCTGTGGGGTAGGCATTCCTGGGGCTGGCTGATGGATGTCAGAGCACAGGCTTTTGGGCTTTTCAATGGATGTGCTTGTTATAGTAAAGGGAGCAGGGTTCTACTGTTGCACCTCAGTGTAATCCCAGCCTTCTCATGGGGTTTCCCTGTACATTAGGTATCCTGGGAACCCCAATGTCTGGGACCTGGCACACCTCTCTCCTTTAAATCAAGGCAAGATGAGCCCAGGAATGTATATATTAGCAGTCTAAAACTTTAAGTTCATGGATCAAAAATTTAGAGCATGTCAGAGACCAGCAGACATGAGCATTACAAGACATTTATATGCCAGCCGTGGAGTTAGAGGCCTGGGTCTGTTCCTACCAGCATAGCGCTGGGAGGAAGGAACTGTGGGGCATTTGGAGAGCTTGCTTCTCTGTCAGTTGTTCCCTAGCATGGCCCAAATGGGTGCCTTGAAGCTTGATGGCTGAAACTTGCTGGCCTGCATTGCTTGCAAGCAAAAGAAAGAAGATTAATGCTTGAGCATAACATGACTAACATTTTCAGGGATGGGACCTACGTTAAGAGGTGACTTGAAGGTGAAGGCCAACTGATGGGCCACTGTCATTTGAATCCTGCCATAGTACTGATAGTTTTTCATTATCTTTCCTTTCCTGATGAGAAATGTGTGATATTGGTTTAGAGCAGAAAACACTTCCCTATGGGTACAAGCCCTATGCTGACTTTGCCGTGGCAACAGGAAGTCCTGGCTTCCCTGTGCTTGTGAGTGGTTTTCTGCACAGCCTGAGGCCATGAGCCACTGGGCAAGGACTCCCTCTATGGGGTTGCAAACCACTGCTTCAGGCTGGATGAACTCGTAGACATGTTTAGTTTGGGCTGCACAGTGTTATAAAATTGGGCATGGAAATCTGTTTACAGCTTCCATTGAATCAAAATCTGGAAATACCAGACCTGAGATGAGTGGCTGGGCTGAGCAGCCCTTCAGAAAGGGCGTGCATCCTCCAGGATGCTGGTTCCCTCCCCTCCCCTTTCTTTGTACTCAGCCCGCTTGACTCCTTTTCCTTACTGGCCAGGCCGTTGTGGGCATTTTAGTTTTCAGTCTTCCTGTACTATTCCCTGCCTTCCCCACGTCCCTTTTCTCCTGAGATCAGACTGGTGGGTGCCTGTTGGGGAGAGGGTTTTGAACTAAAGGGTGATACCCCTCACCTGCCTCCCTGGTTTTCCATGCTTTGGCCCCTTCTCCCATGCTGGCTCCCACTGACCCAGATTCTCCTTGTTGCTTGCTCCAGGTCTCTGGGTCCTGGGGCAGCAGGGCTGGGATTGGGTCATGACTGTCAATAGTGGAGACTCATTCTCTCCAGCTCCCCAAGCTTCTTGGGAGAAGGAGCAGGCGGGACAGGGCTGGGTCTGCAGCAGGAGTCGGGTCAGCGATAAACACTTTCACATTTACCCTCAGCAGTCTCCATGAGCCAGGACCCCGTCTCCCTCTCACCTGCTGTGGAGTCGTGGCCCTTGTCATGAAGGCTTTTACAAGGGCTTGATAGCAGAATCTTACAGTGAACATTTGGGAATTAGATATGGCCAGAAATTTGTCGTTTTCCCCTGTTTTTTGGAGAACCTGTCCTTTCCAGTTCAAAGTCTCAAGAGCTTAGTCAGCGTAACCAGCACAGTAAAACAGACAATTCCATTTGACATGTTCAGCAAAAGATCTCAAAGCAAGGTAAAATAGCGACTCGGGTCACTCAATGCCTTGGGAAAATTAATCCTCCAGTAAGTTATTTTTGTCCACCTAAAAACAACTTAAGTTGCAGAAGCTAAGAGGGCTTCTCTCAGCCAGTGCCTCTCACTCTGTAAGGTCACCCAGAGGTCTTGGTAAATGCAGGCTCTGGTTCAGAGGGTCCACGAAGGGCCTGCGATTCTGCATTTCTAACAAGCTTCCAGGGAATGCCAATGCTGCTGGTCCCTTGACCTCATTTTGAGTAGCAAGGCTAGTCTAGAATAGTGCTTCTCAAACTATCTGTGGTGAACAACTCTTTTTTAACTTTATTTTTGTAAATTTCCGATCCTTCTGTGGGCCCTTCATACATACAATAAAAAAAGAAATGCTATAAAAATTAAATATAAAGGCATATAAAATACAAGCTCCAGGTTTTAAAGTCATTATTAGGGTCAACAGATGTAAAGTACCTCATCAAATTGCTGTAAAGATTTATCAATGTTCACTCTGAGTTTTTGTAACTTGTCTTGTTGGGACCCATGGCAAGCTGCCTCTGCCCGGCACTGGACCAGAGACCCCTCACCTGCTCTGGAGCAGCCTCACTGGGCAGAGCTGGGGCTTCGGGAGCCACAGAGACCCTCTGGCTCAGCGCCCTCACAGGGGACCCAGGAGGAAGAGGGGATGGTGACTGGTCTCCCTTTCCAGGCAGAAACCACTATCTACATCATTGTGAGATGTAAGCTGGATGAGAGGGTGACGACAGAAGCAGAATTTTCACCTGAGGATTCTCCCTCAATAAGAGCGGAAGCCAAGCTGGAGAATGAGTACACTGTTTCCGTGAAAGCTCCCAGTAAGTAGCCTCAGGAACCTCCAAAAATTTGGCATCGTGTTAAGGAAGAGGCCCCCCTCTTGTTGTCTTTTACTTGTCTTGTCTTTGTTCAGCCACTGGAGAAAGTGACAGCCAAGATTTGAATTTGGTTGCCATGTCCTATTTAAAGGAAAAGGAAGTTGAAAAAATACACATGTGTGGTGGGGTGGGGGAATGGATATATTAAAATGTTTATCTTTATAAAGTTAACATATTAACAATTTTTGAAATTAGAGAAAAGTTGGAAGAAAGTCATCTGACAGCCTACACTCCATCTTTTATGTCTTTGTTTACAATTTTTAAAAACATAATTGTTCCAATAGTATCTATTATCTTATACTCTTTTTTCTTTATGTACTCTTAATTTATCCTTTCTCCATCCCTTTTCCCCTGTGCTATTACGTGGACTTTGTAACTTTCCGTTTTATAATTATATTTTTTCTATTACAAAAGTAACGTGTGTTCAGTATGAAAATTTGAAGAATACAGTAACCATAAAAGAAAGTAAATAGAAAATTATCCATCTGCACATCCCCTACACAGAGGAAGTTACTGGTTTCTGTATTTTTCTCCATCTGTGTACATAGCTTCATACTGTCTTGTAACTGACTTTCATTACCTGGAAATACACTAAGAGTATTCTCCCATGTTAATAAATATTCTTTTACAATATGATCCTTAGTGATAACAAGGTAATCCATTGTATAGATGTACCATAATTTATAAAACCAATCCCTTGTGTTGGACCTATATCTTAAAATTGTAATTTTAAAAATGATATAATAGTTGAATAGAAGTATCATCTTTCAATTTTTCATTTCCTCATTGTTGCATATTTGTGTAATTTCTGATTTCTTATTGTCTTCTTATTGTTTTAAATGATGATATATTGAGCATTTTTATGCATGTAGTTTTTTTTTTTTTTGTATTTAGGATTGTTTCCTCAAGGTGGAAGGAATCCCTGAAACAATGGGCGTTTTTAAGGGCCCTGGAAGATAGAGCTTCATTGCCTTTTGAAATATTACTACTCTCAACTTTATTTGCTATACTATCACTAACACTAGGCATTATCACTTTGAATATTTTTGCTAATTTGGTATATTTTTAAGCGGTAGTCCGTTGTTTTAATTTGCACTTCTTTGATTACTAGTGAGGTTGAGTATTTTTCCATGTTCTCTACTTGTCGCATTTCCTCTTTTATGAATCGAATCTTTGTGGTTGGTGTATTTTTAGGTTTTTCTTTCCTCCTCACAACCCCTTCCTGTGGTGTAGAAGAGAGAGCACCTAGGGGAGTACATAGTAGTGACGACAGCAGAGCAAGTGAATCAGTTCTACTGGCCCAACGGGGCGGAAGCACGGAGTCTCACCCGCCAGGATCCCTTCCCCCTTCTGGCGACCACTGGCCTCTGTATAAAGTGCTTTAAATTCAGCTCTTCCTGCCTGTTGCGACAGTTGGCCTACAGTAGTGAACAAAAGAAATGAAAATCTTCCAAAAATTAAATTTCAGACCCAATGAGGATAATTCCTCTGACTCAGAGCCCTCCCGTGTGTTAGTCTGCTCACTACTACTTCTAGTCTTTCCCTTTCTTCCCAATCGTGCAGCTCACCTCCAAGATCTTTCTTCCAGCCGTCAGTTTCTTTACCATTAAGATGAATCCATGAACACTTTTCCCTGTCCCCTTGTAATATAAAAAAAGAATACTTCCATAGTATCTTTTCTTCTGTTCAGACCTTTCATCTGGGAATGTTTCTCTGAAGATATATTCCGGAAATTTACTGGTGTGTGAAACCGTTATCAGCTATTATACTGACATGGAGGAAATTGGGAATTTATTGTCCAAAGCTGCAAATCCCGTCGAGTTCATGTGTCAGGTAAGGATGGTAAAAGGCAACTGGAGTTTTCTGGGCAAGTAGTTTCTGCTCATGGTTCATCAATCTCAAATCTGCTAGATGGGAGACAGCTGGATTTAAAATCTGACCGTCTTCACTTTTGTATTTAGGCTTTTAAAATTGTACCCTACAACACAGAGATCCTTGATAAACTGCTGACGGAGTCCCTGAAGAATAATATCCCTGCAAGTGGGCTGCACCTCTTTGGAATCAACCAGCTGGAAGAAGAAGATATGATGACAAGTAAGTCACTAGTCCAACCTCAGGAAACCAGCAGTGTGCTGATCCCAGATTGCTGCTCTCAGCCTGCAGTCAGCCTGTGCTTGTACTTTCTGCCGGTTCTGCTCTACAGCTCATTCTTGGAGAAGCATTCATTCTTCACTGGCTAGCCTGAGATTCTTCCAAACAGTAAATATGAATATCTTACCCACTTGCTACAAAACCCTTTGTGGTGCCTACTTATCTTCTAGACAAAGTCCAAACTCCTTACCCTGTTTACAAACCCTTCCCAAAGGGCTCCTGCTCTCACTTCTCTCCATGCCCTCCCTCGGCTTCTGTGCTCTGCTCTGCGGAAGGTATGAACTTCTTTTACCTGATGAAAATTCCACCCTGCCCCTTGCCACATCGACCCATAGGAATGCGGTTTCTTCCTCCTCTCCTCCTGCAGCAGCTTGGGAAGCACTTCCTTAAGTAGGTTACATCTACATGCTGTTGGCTATCCTAGCATGTTGAGTGTCCTCTGTCCTGGCACTCTTCAGCTGTATCTGTCTTCTCTGCGAGGCTGTCAGCTCAGGGAGGACTGGGACTGTGCCGGGGTGGCTCACTGTAGGCTCAAAACAAATATTTGCTTGATGAGGGAGGAGCAGTCTCATGTGCGTATGTGACATGCTGGGAGCCAGGAGAACCACTTGCATGGGGATGGTGCCTGGCGTGCTGGACAGGATGCCTGTTATGGTGTGGACACCATGCTTCCTTCATGCTGTGGTTGCACGGCACAAAGGTGATCCAAGACCCTGGTTACCTGCTTCTGCGTCCCATCCTTCCACAGCCTATGAGAACCACAAGGATGAAGTTCTGTTATCTTCAAGTCCTTCTCCTTGGAGCATTCTCTTGTTGCCTGTCCCCATTTTCCTACTGTGGAATGTTCTTGCATCACTTCCAGCAGATGTTAATATTCTCTATTTTTAAACTTGGGTCTCAGGAGGGAGTATTTCGTAGTTTGACAGTCATGAGGGATTCTGGGGAAATTTACAGACCCTTCATTGCAAGGATCATATCCTGGTGGATAGGAAGCTGGGTTTATTGTCTTATTTTTAAAATACATGCATATGTTTACACGTAAAAAAATATATATTCATATATCTGTCTATCATCTATCTATTGATCAATCACTCTTGGGTTTAAAAATAAACTTTTATAAAAACAACAAAAAAAGGTTTGTCCCCCAACTCCACAGTACAAACATGTCTGTGTCCTTGGTTGAGTTTAACTTGCTGTATCCGGATATTAGTAGATGGAAGGAGTCATGGTGATCCAGTGACTCTCAGGAGTGCTCTGTTTCCCACAAATCAAAGACTTAATGGACATCCTGGGGTTCACGAGCATTAATACCATCATTCAAAACCTGTCCTAAACAAAGAGCTCACTGAAAACTGTCTTATTAATCCTCCCAGGTCCCTTTGAAGTGGCCTGGAAATATTTTCTAGTTCAGAACTAGGGGCCATGGAAAGGCTACGTAACATACCCAAGATTACTCGGCATACTTTATAAAATTGGGAATAAGAGCTAAGAAGATGAACTTCTTTCTTTTAATCAGCATAAAGCTGTCATTTGAAAGTGCTCTGTAATTGGCAGAGCTGGTCAAAACATGATTCCTGTTGTACTTTGTGGCTGCTGTTTATGCCTTTAGAACATCAGCACATTTTGAACTAATATTATTTCTCGGGATTCTCTGATCCTTTTAGAGAAAGAAGATAGGATAGTAATGATTAGATTTGCTAATTAATTAGCATATTTCCTCAGTCATGTGAGACCATAATCTTCAATGGTGCCGCAGAGGAAGCTGTCAGATGTTAGGTCAGTCATTTGAGAAGTAATGATTGAGCTCCTGCTGGATGCCATGCTAAGCTTGCCAGCTTCGTCTCCATGAACAAGGTGCCCTGTGCTTTCCTTTTTATCTGTCCATTAAGTTTTCCCTGAAAATTTTTCAGATCAGAGGAATGAAGAGCTGCCCACTTTGTTGCACTTTGCTGCCAAATACGGACTGAAGAACCTTACTGCCTTGTTGCTCACCTGCCCGGGAGCCCTCCAGGCCTACAGTGTGGCCAACAAGCATGGCCACTATCCCAACACCATTGCCGAGAAGCATGGCTTCAGGGACCTGAGGCAGTTCATCGACGAGTATGTGGTAAGTCAAGACGGGAGGGCCCCTGGGATTGGAAGTGCACTGTATGGTTCCAGGGCTGCCTTTTCACCAAAGACATGGGTGGATTTCATCTCTAGCCTGTCCTTATGTGCCTCTTCTGGTGGTGCCAGTGTGTGTGGGCTTCGAAGATGAGCCCTGGAGTCACATGAACCTGGGTCCAAATTCCTGTACCAACACTTGTCAGCCACATGACTTTGGGCAAATTATGTATCTGTCCCCTGTCTCTCTCTCTCAGTTTCCTAATACACAGAAAGAAGATAATAATAGTTCTACCATAGGGTTGTTTTGAGGATAGAAGGAAATAATGTATGTAAAGCACTGAGATCCACCCTCAAAGCATTTACAGAGACATTTATAGGGTGAATCTGCTGAAGGTCGATGCTGATCCCTCTTTCCCAGTCACCTCCTCACCCACTTCCAAGGCACCTTGGCAGGATGCTCCCAGCCGCCTTGCCCACCATCAGGCCCAGAAGAACTGTGTGAGGCTTGGTTCCTTCTTTAGCAGAGACCACAGTAAAGCTCTGCACCGGAGGCTTCAGGGAGGCCAGCTGTTGAGGCACCACCTTCTGCGGACGACCTATTTCTCTTTCTGAGCCTCTCTGCCTGTCTTAATGCTTATCTGCTCCTCTGGTTTTGGATCCCCAGGTCCTCCTGGATCATTGACTTCTGGGTCCTTCTTTGAGTGTAATCTCTCCCTGTACCTCAGCCTCATTCCATGTTCCAGGATTGCTTCCACTGTTTTGGAGGCAGCTGCCCTTCCTGACTCTACCCTTGTCTGGTTTTCCTCCATTTTCACTATTCACAGCAGTGAGACAGGAATAGTTCAGCCTCTCACACAGGGCTGTGATCTCAAAAGGAACAATAAACACAATCCAGTCTTGCTCTCTACCTCCAGACAGGGGTGAGCCTGACACCCCCTGCAGAAACCTACCTCTCTGCTCTGTACTAGCTAGTCTACAAGGCAGTGACTCACTGAGACACATAGAGGGGGCTTCCCAAAATTTAGAGGGTATTAAGAGTATTGAATGAGCAGAACAGCATGAGTCCCCGTTTTGGGCTTCATTGACACAAATGAGGTTAAAAGGTGTTCACGGTCCATGAGTATTTACTTGGCTTTACTTTTGAGTTAAAACGTATACAATGAGGTGCTTTATTTCCCTGCCAAAAGTTTTTTTTTTCAGTTAAGGACGTACTTAATGATATGTGTCCATAGTAATGACTACTACTTATTGAATTTATTTAATGGGCAATTGCACTATCTTCTTTAATCCTCATCACAATCCTTTGAAGTTGATAGTATTATCATCTCTCCAACAAAGTAGGCAAGAGTGTAGAAAGGCAGAGTCATTGTGCCAAGAGTCCCACAAGTAAGGGTAGAGATAGAATTTGAACCTAGTTGGTGTAAAAGCTGGGGCCTGTCATCCTACTCTGTGTGACAGGGATGTTGCACGATGCACTTCCAGCTTGCACTGAAGTTAATCTGGCTCACATTTCCCATATCATCTTTGCTGTCTGACTACAATCGCCTCAACCCATGCATCTTCAGTATTGCCCCCAAAAGGTCCCTTGTGTTGCTTGTGACCTCTGTGAACTGTCCCATTTCCCCTTTCCGTCACATCAAAACCAATACTGGACCTTGAGTCTCCACCACTGCACAGCTGTCGCCTGGTCTGCTCCTTGGATCTCATCAGGAAAGCAACACAGGGTGTCAATAGCAGATTACCTCTCTTGGGGTAGTGATGATGAAAGTGAGAATTTTTGTGGGTTGATGCTGAAATGAGGATTGTGAAACACCGAAGCTTCTTACCAGGAAAAGCTGTGCAGGGGTTTCAGAGAAGCCAGCTCTCTGGCTTCACCAATGCCTGGAGGCAAAATGACGGAGCGCGGCCTGCCTGACTTCAGGGCATTTCAGCCAAGATCAGCTCTCCTTCTGAGCACAGGATACAAATCAGAGAGGGGCACTTTGAAGTGTGCTGTCAGGCACTCTGGAGCAGCCTGCTGGAAGGAGCGGGAACAGAGTGAACCAAGTTCCCAAGGGACCTCTGACTATGCATAAGTGCAGGGACACCTTAGCTGCAGCCCTGTTTGGAACATTTGAATCTCCATCTGGCTAATCAGTAAGGGTTACACCCTTGTGTGCCATTGATTCCCTTTTGAGGAACCACTGGGATGTAACATAAAGGTCAGAAGCCAAGACTGCAGACCTTTGAGTAAGGCACTAGATTTTTCTGAGCTGTGGCTTCTCATCTGTGAACCAAGGAATAGGATACTTTCTTAAGCAGTGGTGGAAAGGATGTTATGAGATAATGCGTAGGCACATTCCCAGCACCGCCCCGACACATGATGGGTGCTCATGAGAAAGTTTTACATTTGTATCCCCTGAACATTCCATGTTTAACAAGTGTCTCCTCTGAGCACATAACTCTGTTCTTAGTGTTGGAGGAAGATACAAAGATTAAAATCAAGAACATAAAACAAAGAAAAAGACTTGGAGCCTGGCCTCAAGGAGCTTTCAGTCTGGGAAGTCCAGACATACACACACAGTTGCAACCCTGATGTATGTGAGCCTTTCCTTTGCTGTCACAAGCCACTCAGGGGCCTGGCTCTACCCGGAAAGCTTGGCTGTGCCAGTCAGTGTGCCTGTGGGTCCCACCTTCTCTTTCAGGAAACTGTGGACATGCTGAAGAGTCATATTAAAGAGGAACTGATGCAAGGGGAGGAGTCCGACGCTGTGTATGAGTCCATGGCGCACCTTTCCACAGACCTGCTCATGAAATGCTCCCTCAACCCCGGCTGTGACGAGGACCTGTATGAGTCCATGGCGGCTTTCGTCCCAGCAGCCACCGAGGACCTCTGTAAGTAGCACAGCCTGGTTCTGCTTCCATCTTTCTGCTGACAGATGGCTTTCTTCCTTCTGGTGTGTGGGGGAAGTCCCTTGCTTACCCTCACTCCCCTGGAGAGATGAAGATCCCATTTTACACAAAGTTAGATGGGTCATCATGTGCTGTGACAAGCAGAATCCATCTCCAGACTTCCTCTGCTATGACCACTGAGTGACTGGAAAGTCAACATTGGGGAAGATGTTGTCTTGTGATCCTGGAAGCGAAATCAGTGGCATTTGACCCTGTCAGTTCCAACAAGCCCTTTTCATAGCAAACATTTTGTAATGCCCCCTTACTACCCTACATGAGATGCATATAACCTACCTACATGTGAAATTTTTAGAAATCAAATATACATCTTAAATCAAATATAAAAGAGAACTAAAAGGAAAGGAAATGCTCAGTTGAGTCTGTGCATGAGGACACAGTGAAATAGCCAGATGCAGTCACCCCTGCTCAGAATCAGTGCCACTGTCACAGCCTCAAACGCTGACCGACACGTTTATTGTATCAGTGACCCGAATGCTGTCGGCAGCAATGGCGTCAGCACCTGGATTTTACTAAGTGGTGAACAATTCCTCACATTCACCTCTCCATTTCCATAGTAATTGAATTCTCAGAAAATTTAATGTATATCAAAACCTTGCAAAAATATAAGTTGTATTTATGAATGAAGCAGTTTAGTTTCTAGGCTCAGAAAATTATAAGCATTTTTTGGATACCTGATTTTATTGGATTAGTATATAATAAACTTATTTCTAAATAAGTTTAACTATTTCTAAATATCATATCTCCAGGACATGACTTTTCCTATAAACTGCTTTTTTTTTTGCCATTTTTGGCTTTCTAAGTTGTTTTTTCAATAGTAAAAGTAATAGTCTTACAAAAGTTGAAACAAAATAGAAATGTATAATGGAGTTATTAAAAGTCCATGCTATCCAACCAACCAATATACTTGTAGTAGTTTGCTGGTTATATTTGTCCATAGTTTTCCTTATACCTGCTGATATTAAATTTAAAAATATGCACACATACATATATATATATGTACGCACAGATATATACAAATACACATATGTTTAAATATGTATCATAAGCAGTTAATATTTTTACCTAGATATATGTATAATGACATATTTAAAAGTCATGAGGGACACAAAACACTTCATTGTTCAGGGCTGTCCTGCACATTGAAGGATGTCTAGCATCTTTCTCCTTCTGCTAAATGCCAGTGTCTTCATCATGGTGACAACCCAAAACACCCTCGTAGATTTTCCAAACCCCCTCTAGAGGTCAGTGCTGCTCCCCCGAGAACCACTGGCCTAAATAATGGTGGATTTCGAAGCACACATCAGGGTTGAAGCAGGAGGACCACACAATGGCCCGCTAAGAGCCTTCTTAATATGTTACCACCATTTGCTATCAGATGCTAAGCGCTTCGAAACACTGCCTGCGACTGCGCTCTCCTTTCCTCTGGTCTAATTAATAGATTCAAGAAAGACAAGCAAGTCCCCATCAATGCATCCATCAGCTTTATTGATGGTTGGCTTTCTGTAATGGCCTAGATTGAGTATTGCCAACTTTCAGCCTGAGAAGAAGACTGTGGGGTCCCAGGCGCACAGGGAGATGGGCCTGATTTTCTCATCCATGAAGGGAAAAGCAGACATCAGGAGGGTGCTTTGGAGCAGGAGATGTGGGTAGATCAGGGGGCCAGAGGGGAGCCCTGACACCAGCAGGGCCTTTGACACCACAAGCCCAGTACCTGGAAAGTGTGGTCCCGTGGTTGTTAGGTGCTTGCCAGACAGATTGGCTGCTCCTCTGGGGGAGGGGGAGAAGGAGGGAAAGGGAGGCAGCAGCTCTCTTCCAGCACCTAACTGGGAGGACTGGGAGTGCTGGTGCAAGCTGCTCCCAAATGAGCCATGACCCAGCAGGGAGACGAGGAGAGAGGGCATTATCCCCACCATTCACATCCTCTACCTCACTGAATCCTCAAAGCAGCCGTACAGGGATGCTTTCATTAACCTGCACTTTACAAATGAGGAAACTGAGGTACGGAGACATTAAACAATTTTCCCAAAGTCTCACAGCTAATAAGAGATAGGGCCAAGATTTGAACCCAGGTCTATCTGTCTCTAGAACCGTATTCCTTATTCTGTACCAGAAATTCCCACCTAATACCACAAATTTTAGTCCTGGTTTCTTTCAGAAAAACCACCTACCAGCTCCAGACATGCCTCTTCCTTCTGCAGCCCAGATGTTAGCTCACAAAACAGCCTCTGGCGCCCCCTACGCTTGACACCCATCATCCATCTCTCTATGTACCCAAAACATTCTGGAGCATCTGTGTTTCAGCTACTTGCCTCTCCCCCATGTTGGGAAGACAACTTGGTGGGGAGGAGACACAGTCCTTTTCAATCTGGAGGTGACCCATTCACAAAAGAACATTTGGAGAAAGACTGGTACCCACTTGGGAAGCTAGAGACATGCATCAGCATTTCTGCCTTGTGTCCCTATTATGGGGCAGTTGAACAATGAAAGAATCTCCCACTTTATGGGCAGTTTAGTGTTGACAGAGAGCCTTAACACCTGTTATCCCTCGGGATGCTTGAACGCGTGAAATTCCCCCACCACATCGTTGCAGAGCTGCGGGGAATGCTAACCATCCCATTACTCCTTGTCTGCTGGTCCTTCACAGCAGGGGCAATGAGCCTCTCCAGCTTTCCTAAGGCAGTGGAGGGCTATGGAGCTTGCCTGATTTGTGGCCAGTTGGCAACTTGTAAAGTGACATGGGGTCAGGGGAGATTCTGGTTGCCATGGAGCTAGGAGGAGGCCATCGACAGACAGGCTATAGAATTAGGCTGCTTTCGGGTCGGGGAAAGGAAACTCACTGCATTTTTCATCTGCCAGATCATATAAACTCTGAATTTTCTGATTCTAGACATGATTTGGTTTGTGTTTCTGTCTCTGTGGTTTAATCTTGAGAATGACCACTCAGCTACTGGCCAGGAAGAAGCAGCAATTTGTACCTGGGGAGGACCCATTCATTTTACTATCAGTGACTCTAGGAGAGAAGGCAATTTAGGTCATAAATAAGTAGAGCAAACTGATCAATCTAAGATGCATATCTGTAACACCACCCAGCACAGGAATCACTGTCAAGCCAACAGACTGCTTTCATCTCTGTGATCCCACCTGATCATCTAGGGCTTGGTGGATAGAGTTTCCTTCATTTTATAGAGGAGACCACTAAGGCTCCAAGATTTAGTAACTTAAGTCCCATCGAGGGAGAACTGGGTCAGGAATCTGGGTCTGCAGATTCCCAGGGGTCAAGTCTGTCAGCTGCCCGCTGCGATAGAGGACCCTCCTGGCCTGCCCTTCTGCTAGGGTCTGCACTTGCCAACCCTGGGACAGATACTTACATGGGAGCTATTTCTAAATCTAAATAGCCGAGGTTATCACTGCCCCACCTTTGTTACCATCCAACCCTAGAGGCTGAAAATAAACACGTTAAGGGAGCTATGTGTATGTTTATTCACTAACCAACTCACTCGCTCATCCATTCATTCGCTCACAGGACAAACACTATGGAGTGCAGGCGCTCAGCTAGCGCCTTACCGTTGCCTGGGAGGTCACCTCACTGTGTTGGGACAAATCGGCCTCCTTCTGACGTGAATTTTGGAAAAGGGATGGTAATGAGGTCCCCTTCTCCAAAGGGCATGCAAACAACCACGAAGTGGGAAGGTTGTCAGGGAAACTCCCAGTGTTGAATGGAGGGGGCTGGGGAGCAAAGGTGGCTTCTGATCCTGAGATTTTGTGATCCTTCCACTGAACTTGAGTGGGTGTGGCTCATGCTCAGACACAATACCACACGCCTCACACTCACGGTCTTTAGTTTAGATATGCTGCCACCACGTGGTAACTACATGTCTTTGTCATCCAACTTTCAACTTTCAATTCTCTTGAGAATTTTTTGTTCCAGACCCCTGCAGATGTAAACCATCATTTTCTGTTCCGTACTAGGTAAGACATAAATGTTATGAAGAATAAGTAAGCTTACGCAAGCACTAAATAAAAGTCACGGCACACCTCTCTTTGAGTGCTTTTACTATCTCCTCATCTTTTTCTCATTTACTTCTTTTGCTTCTATCCCTACCTTCAGAGAATGATATGATGGTCCTTGGTCTTGGGTATTACATTTCATGTGGAAAGCCACGTCCAGTGACTGGTCACTTCCCTGAGGCTCTGGGTCCTAAGGTCTTGGGAGCCATTTCTAGGAGGCCCTTGTCCAGCCATTTCCAAGGTAATCTACTTGTGCACTTAGCACTGCTTAAATGTCTCAGAGACTTGTCTTTCTTCATCAGGAAGGAGGAGCAAAAGAAGAAAGGTGTAATGTCTCACTACTAGAAATGAAACTCACACATGTCACTCTAATCCACCCGCTTCCTGTGACTCCCACGTTGAACTTTTCTTTTGCACCCCTGCTCCCTCCACCCAGTTCTGTGGCTCACATCTATGTACAGTGGAGAGACCACTTAGCCTCAACTAACTTACTGGCTTTCCTTAGCAACCTCCCTGGCAACTGGTGCCTTTGTAACAGGTGATCTCCAGCAGTGTTTTCTTTACCTGAACTCTCTGATTACAGCCTCTCTGTGCAAGCTGGGTACCCTCTGAGCTGGGGACATAGCTGGGCACAGTAAAGGGCCTCACAGCCCAGCCAGGTAAGGTCTGAGCCCACCTGAAGGACCATTTGTAAGCAAAACTGTTAAGTTACTGATTTGCTTCTGGAACATTCTGTCTTCTCCATCTGCATGCTTTTCTCTCAAAAATTGTCCTTCCTACAGTAGCTGAGGTTCTGCTATCCTCCTGCTATCCATCGTGGGAAGACTCTGGCTAGTAGAGCCTTGGGGCAGCGGGGCTGGGTGCAAGGCATGGGGTCTTTCTAGCAAGGAACTCACACTGAGGTGGGGCTGTTC